CACACTTGGGCTCACAACTTCTCTAAAATTATTAAAATATACTATCCTCCAATTATAAAAGATAAAACAGAAATGTCTGGATGTGCTCTTCGGTAATTTGTTGCGATTTCTTACGGTGCGATTTTATCGCATCGCACTTTAATTTTTCCCATCTTCAACAGTTCACGAAACACGTACAGCTGGTTATTTAAATTAAGTTTATCCTTTGTTTAACAAAAGCGAGTTCTAAGCCATCTTCTATTTGGCCGAACCTTTCATCTGAACTTTTATTTTTGTGAACAGTGTCAAGAGGGCCGACAGCGAATAGTGGAAGGACATTCATTCAATTAAATCAACCCCCCTATAGAGAATCCTCGAAATCCAATGATTAGGTAAAACCGTGGTTTCGGTTAGTTTGGCATCGTGCAAATAACCGGCCCATTATGTCAAAGAACAAACAGCAGTAAATGCTAACGTGCTATTTCCATCAGAAAATTGAAAAGCCGCCATCTGTATCTTGCAGGAAACATTGAAAACACGATAACAATGACACCGTTGCTTTATTTTCTGTCAATCGCGCCTCTTTTTTTACGGTAGTAGTGAAAGATTCGATTTCTCAATTTTCATTTGTCAAAGAACATACGTGAATAACCAACCTTGTGACCAGGCAATCTTGGGTATCATTGAACACAACTCCAGTAACAGAAAACAGATCCAAGTGAAAGACATGGCACAAAGTCATACAGACATGGAGTACAAACTGAATTTTTCCCACCTGTACTAAGCGTGATATTAGCTTCATTTAACTTCTTGTTTACTTTTCAACCTATAGCTGTCTAGAGTTCTGTATATGTGCCTTTTATGGTATAATTTTATTGAACAAGAAGTCTATGCAAGGAATAAATATGAGGAAAATTCAAATATTAATTTTACAGAATGCCAAAGCGTAAACTCCGTTTCCATGGCCAGTTTCGCTAAATAAAGGCTGCAAGGATGAAAGGCCATTAATTTTCAAGGTTATTTCTCTTACCAACTTTACACCTATCCACCGCTATCGAACTAATACAAAGTTGTTTGAAATTCCCATCTTATTTAAAAACTAACACAACAACTATAACACTGTGTTAATTAACAAATTGACAAGAATATTAATTTATTTGCGTTACGAAGCTAAGCAGATATTTTATTCCTGCACGTTCTGAATGGTAATGTGTGTTTATCAGTGAGTGTTTCGATATGTCTTAAGTTATGTGTTAACTAATTTGAATAACGGTATGTAAGTGTTGAGTAATAAGAACTAAGAGTTAGTCCGTCGGGTCTGTGAACACATCTGGAAGGGCAACTAGCAGCAACTTGATTATTAGTTTCAAGTGCTCGATAAGATGCATTAAGCCTCGAACGTCATGAAAAGTAGTTCCTTAAAGAGAGCGAAACGCGCGTCAAAAGAAGGTATTGCATTAGTATCGAAAAGAATAAAGGCCATTAAGCTATTTAATAAAAGCGAGTTTCGTTGGCAAGTTACGGTCAACGAATATCTATCTGACAAGCTCGCGTCAAATTCTGATGACGAAAAGAAAATGTCTCGAGCAGAGAGAATAGCGGATAAAGATAAGCGTCGTTGGCAGTAACAAGCCACTTCTTCTTCAAAACCAACGAGTTACAGTCAAGCACTTTGGTATGATTTTGCAGTCATTTTGCGTATAACGTTAAAGCAGTTTTACTTCTCAACATTTCATTCAGATTATTCATTGGCTGGCATCCTTGGTCTTCAACGTACATACACAACCATAACCTCAGCGCCCCCGACGTCGGCTTGAGAAAAGAATATAACAAAAAAAACTAGCGATAAATAATACATAGTAAACTATTTATTGAGATCTCATTAAATAGATTGTTAACATAATACATAATCCATAATTAGAGATAGATGGAGAAAAGAAAACAAATAAAAAGTTAGCAAAAGTGACCTTTTCCGAGTGAAACCGGATTTAGAGCACCAGCCTTTTAATCATCGGGGAGGTTAAATTTCAGATGAGTCGTGCAGTTATTACACTTCTCCTCTCAATTTCCTACCGGAATTTTGCCCAATAATTAACAATTGCAAT